AAAAAAGGCCGGAGGAAGTGGAGAGTGACGTGGGAGGTGATGTGGAAAATTTTAACGTGCCACGTGAGCAAAATTTACACATTGGCATACTCACGTCAGCTGTTTCAGTTAAGTTAACGTGCCACGTGAGCAAAATTTAACGGAAGGACTAAAAAGGGGCCGGATTTGTTAACAGTAAGACCAAAAAGGGGATTTTTTTGGTACAGGGACTAAAAATGGGCTTTTTCCTATAATAGAGGGACCAAAAAGGGTATTTAACCTAATTAAAAAATCTTGAAAGATTAAAAAATTAAATAAATAACAATTATATATAATTCATAATATTAATATCGAATTATTTTAGTACTAAATGTTTTTATAATATTTATTATGTATATTAAAATTTATTAAATAATTTGCTTTTTTTTTTTTTTTTTCAAATTTGGATATATGTTTCGGTCAAGCTACTTGACTGAAATAACTTTAAAATTTCCGCCAGTTTAACCCACAAAAAATTTCCGCCAAAATTTTGAAAATTTCTGTCAATATATTTCGATTAATATATTTGACCAAAATACATCTCACAAATTTCAGCAAACATTTTTGAATTCCCCCTGCAAAAAATTTCCGCCAGCATTTTGAAAATTTCTACCATATATTTCAGTCAATTTACTTGACCAAAATATATTCAGCTTTTTTTCCTTCGGTCAAATCGCTTAACCGAAAAAATATACAATAAAGTTAGCTCAAATATCATTTCAATTAGTGAGTTTGCCCGAGATTGGTTGGGTGTAAGTGTTTTTGTGATCTTATTTTGGCTAGTTATCCACCTCGAAAAAATTATTTTGAATACCAAAAATAGCCCTCCCTTTAATTCGATCAAGCATATTAATCGAAATTTTTAATTAAAATATTATTATTTAATTCAGTCAAATTACTTGTCCGAATGTAATAGTTATTTAATTATTTTCTCATGCACATTTTCGATCAATTATATTAATCGAATTGATGAGTTATTTTGGTTGAGATGAAATTTTGTCCGAAATACTATTTCATACAGAGGTTATTCAAGCCAACAATTCAGTTAATGGGTTTGACTGAAGTGTGATTTATTCAGTCATAAAATGCACTATTTCGGTCAATATGATTGATCGAAAAATACCCTAAATCTAGTAGTAGAATAATGTAATGAGTTTTGAAAATTTAACCTAAGAATATTACAATATATAAATAATAGAGTATATAAACTCATAGACCTTCATGTATAATAGAATAATCACTTTAATAAAATTTAAAAACTTAAGATCTGATATGTGTTTTATAACATATATTTTATGTATAATAATATTTACAAAATAATTTCGGATCAAAACATGAAAAATGTCATAACAAAAATTTATTTGTCACTAATAATGTATCTTTAACTTCCAAATAATATATATTTTATGAATTACATTTAATATATATTTTAATTTGGACAAAATAAATATACATTTATTATATACGTAATTATTTTAATTTATAAAATTAAACCATTCGATAAATAATGTTTATGTACATATAATTATTAAATAAGCACTACAAGAAAATCCATATTTAGTGACTAAATTATTAATCATTAAATTTTTATTTTTTTTCACTAATTATTATTAGTGATAAAATTTAAATCATTAGTAAAACCCTTGTTATTAATGCTCTTAGTGACAAATTAAGTACTTGTCACAGAAAATAATTTTATAGTGATAGAAAAAATTGACATTGTTAACAAGTTATTTATAATAATTTTATTCGTCACAAATGCAATTATGATGAAAAATTTAGTCATTAATTATTAAAATTGATATTAAATAAAAAAAATATTTATATAATTACAACATAAATATTTTAACAAA